CCAAAATTTACATGCACATGCTCGAAGTTAGCGGAAAGGCCAAGACTGACTTTGCATTTCTCAACTCCCATCGATAGTGGAAACAGGCGATTTTTTCATGCTTCTACGGCAGTTTACATGTAGTTTCGGCCATTTTTCTACTGGCCAGAGTGAGAGCCAATAGCTGGCTGCCACGAATAGGCAGGATGATTCTAGTGGCCAGCGTGAGAGCCAACAGCTGACTGACACGAATGTTAACTAGCATGCTAGCATGCAAAAAAATCGATAGCTGCATTCGTCACAAGTGGGAAAAATTTAAATCTGCATGGCACTTTACTCCAGTTGGCTCATTCGCTTGCTTACTCAACGTTGATTCTGATTCCGCAGAACTGGGTTGGGTGTGAAAAAGTATTTGTTGTTAACATTCTTTTTTCATTCGGTTTTTCCAGTTACGAGTCCTTTTTTAAAGCTGATCGTTTTGTGTTCAATTTTGTTTAGTTCTTTTTTCGTAACAGATTTAATGTTTAGTATAGAGCTTAGAAAAAATTCGCAGTGTGAGATAGGCAAGAAGTAAGGCATGTAGCAACATCAGCACGGCAAAGGCACCCCTTTAAAGGCAAGGAAGGGCAAAAATATTTTAAGTCATAGCGATTGCTGTATGAATCGTACGACTTTTGAATCAAGCACGAGCAACGCCTGACCATGCTGCTAGTATATAATAAATATGTTAAAGGAAGATTAATACACTAATAACAAGACTAATAATGATAATTGCGATTATAAAAAGATATGAAATGTTATAGCAACAGACAAAATATGAATGAGAATGGCAAGAACAAAATTAATAATTTTGATGATTATAAAAATGGAAACACTAGTCGCATTTGTCATAGAAATGAAGAGATATTTGCATAAATAAATGCACAAGCGGTGAAATCAGTGACAACAAAAGAACGTGTAATGGCAGCGTGAAAGAAACACAAAAACAAACGAATAGTGAATCTATTTCAAGACTCGAAAAAAAAAAGAGAAAGAAAATTTGTCTGAGACTAACGTCAGCCATTTTGGTCTTACTCATACTTGGATAATTATTGCTCAAGAGTCGGCCATTAGGCGAACAAACGCAAATAATAACAACAGTTACAAAAAAGCGCGGCAAACAATATCGTCTCGAGTTATTTATACTATTTCGTATTTATACAATGAAATTCGACTACTAAATAGGATTGATCGTTTATTGACTGATATATAGGGTGTTCCAAAAACGATCTCAAACAATGGCGCGATGGTTAGTTAATTCGTACCGCTGATCAATTCGTTATTATTCTGGGTTCGATCATCACTGATACGGAACACAACGATTAGCAGTGGCCGACACAGGGCTAAACTATTAACTGGAAGACTGAGAACTCAACCATTAGTTGAACAACAGAGAATTTAGCCAATACTTGAACAACAGTGAACTCAAACTATAGTTAAACAGAGAACTCAGCCATTAGTTGAAGAACAGATAACTCAACCATTAGTTGAACAACAGAGAATTCAGCCATTAGTTAAACAGAGAACTCAGCCATTAGTTGAACAATAGAGAACTCAGCCATTAGCAGCGGATGTCTCAAAACTCAACCATTTGCATTTGGTGACTCAGATATCAATCATGGACATTTCTCACTTAGAAGGTTTGCTGATGGTCTTGTCTCTTCACGTCTTCGGGCGGGAAATCAAAATTCACTAAGGATTGATAATCGCAACAGTTCGGCCATTATCGTTTGGCCTTCTTCACGTGTCTCTTGTACTCAACAACCTTCCCGGAATTTTTAAATAGAACTCTTTATTCAATCCTTGGGTATAAGACGCAAGATAAAGGTACTTTTATGAAATTTGTGGTGATTACCATCACGTAGTTTAACTAGAAGACTGAACATAGTCCTGCCTTCTTTCGATTTTCGCTATAGGAAACAGTAGATACAACACACGTCGCTTTACCTACAAGGAAATGCTTTACTCGGGGTGGGAGTGAGAGACTACTGAACTCCAAACACAGACATGTGGTGCCTCTCTCTCTCTCTCTCTCTCTCTCTTTCGCACACACACACACACACATTTTCTAAAAACATAAGTATATTTTCATCCATCTTGAAATAGGTTGTCTATATAAAAAAGAGTCCACGATAGGCCAAAAGGATTACGAAAAATTGCCTAAATATTGAAGTTTGTATGCGTCTTTCAAAACTAATTTACAACCTCATATTGGCTTAAAAGGACTTTCTCTTCGTGTTCAGATTTCATCATCATCAACATCATATAATAATAATAATAATAATAATAATAATAATAATAAAATTGTTTTCACGAGTACAGCCCATATCTTACGAAGGTCCTTATCTATGTAAAATATGTGTTTTTTTTTTAATTTGTCGGTGGAAAATGTCATGATGCCATTTCTAACCTTAGGTCTCTGGGCGGGACCCGGAAAGAACTGTGTACACCCCAGAAATCAAAGGAAATAATAATAATAATAATAATAATAATAATAATAATAAACAAAATGATTGACGAGAATATTTCAATATTTTTAACATTTAGATAAAAGCGCGATTTAAGAAAAGAGAAAGAAAAGACTCTTCTTTTTCTTTTCTTAAATCGAACTCTTTTTTAAGCGTTAATAATAATATTATTAATAATAATAATAATAATAATAATAATAATAGAATGTAAAAATCGGCATGATATAGTAGGCCAAAGTCTTCACTGGAAAATACGCCGGTTTTATGGGATGGAAACTGCAAGTAACTGGTATGAACATCACCCAGACCCGGTTACAGAAATAGGACCAGTAACAATCAAAAGCTGGGTAGAGTATTGCGAGGCAGGCGGATCTCTCTGGTAAGAACGAAAAGAGTACTGAGCTGTTACGTGACATCTGTCTTCTTTACGGCAGTGAATGTTGGACCGTCTCCTGAAAGATGAAGAGGCTCGAGGCGACGTAGGTGTGGTTCTAGAGAAGGATATCATGGACCGAGCGTGTGAGGTCTTGGGGGAGGATGCAAACAAGGAGGGGGCTTATACTTAACACCAGGAAGAGGCAGCTGAAGTTTCTGGGGCACGTAATGAGAAAGGAGGGCTTGGAGAATCTGATACTCACAGGGACAGAGAGACAAGAGAAAACAACGCAAGACGTACCTGTCGGGCTTAAGCAAGTAGATGACAGAACGTGGTCTGGAGGAGGTGGCAGAGGTATGAAACTTATTGAAAGCTATAAGGGATAGGAAGATGTGGAGAGACATGATCGCCTTTGTCACGGCACAGAAAAAGAAAAATTTTATGGGACTTTACAATACACACACACACACACACACACACACACACACACACACACACACACACAGAACAATCAAAGCTAGTAGCTCAGACCTCGTGATCAAATACCACAAGAACAGAAATTGCTTTCTTATTGACATTATAGTCCCTGCAGATTGTAATGTATCTTTGAAGATCTTCAAAATACTATCAAAACACAAGGGTCTTGATGTTAAAATCTCAAAAATGTGGCACATGAGGACATCAGTAATTCCCTTGGTAGTTGGAGCACTCGGTTTGATTGGAAAAGGTTCCGATAGACTCATTAAAGGGATTCTTGGTTTGTAGCCGATGCCTTCAAGAAATACATAAAAATCGTACTCACAAGTACAGTTCACACATTACGAAATGCTTTATCTACGTAAAATGTGTACGATTTTAGTTTTTTTGTTTTTTCGTTTACAAAAATGATCAGTGTAAAATATCATGAAACCATTTCTAAAATTAGGTCTCTGTTTGGGACCCGGACGCAAATGTATAGACAACATAAATCAAAGGAAGAATTATTATTATTATTATTAATAATAATAATAATAATAACAATAATTATAGTAAGAATTGTTATTATTAATAATAATAATAATAATAATAAATAATGAAATGACCCATTCTGTATAAAGTTTCCATTTGCCTCATTTAGCTTACTGGCTAATGGAAATCTTAGGGCTGGAAGATTTTAAAATTTAGCTAACCCTCTAAAAAAGAAAATTAGACGCCTTGCACTATGGCATAAATAGTTTCAACATCCTAGATTAATCGTAGTTAGTTAAACGAAAGACGGCAAAAAACTTACTAAGTATTAATTCCAGAGGATTGCCTGAAATGTTTGGCAAATACTATATATATATATATATATATATATATATATATATATATATATATATATATCATTCCTCCTGCGTGCTGAAATGTATTATTTTTGAAAATGTTGAATTCAGTTTCTTTGAGGATTCTCAACCACGACGTCGTCCATACCAACTTGTAGCACGTTTCTACTTCGTATATATATTTTTGGGTTTTACGACTGGGTTATGGTTAACGAGCTACAGTAGAAACGGTCTGTGAGATAAGGTTGCTAACCATTGCTCCACACTTGAACGTTTTAACACGGATACTACGTGGCGAAGTGTAGAACAACAGCCTCATCACATTCGATGGTGCTGCTATTGTTTCCTATGGCGTAGTCTCACGCTCAACCGGTTTCGAATTCAGAACTATCTTTTTCCCAGACAACTAAAAACCAAGGTTAGAGAAGTCTGCTTTGTTATTTACTACCAAGCTGTTGATAAAGTAACGCACTGGGCAGAGCTGAGGTTTGAATTCGATACACCGATCGAACTCTCCGCGCCAGTAACCACTATGCGACTGCTCAGATATAAATGATGACATCCAGAAAGCGTTGGGTTTGAAACTTGCTGACATTTGAATTATCGAAGAACCTGAAGGGAAGGGTTGATGAAATTAAGGAAAAGGGTTTTTTTTTTTTTTTTTTTTTTTGGCGGGGAGCTTTTAAATTGAGCAATTTCGTATACATAGCGTGTCTTTTATTGTTTTAATGCGTTCGGTTAAGTGCATCGAAAAGAAAGGAGTTGAGATTGTGTAATAAAATAAATATTTGTTGCATGAAAGATATTCTTTTGTTTCTTTGTTAAGGTACAAATTTAAGTAGATAGATAGATAGATAGATAGATAGATAGATAGATAATGAACAAACTGGGATAGATAGATAGATAGATAGATAGGGAACAGACTGCAATAGATAGATAGATAGATAGATAGATAGATAGATAGATAGATAGATAGATAGGAATATAGATATATGCAGAGAAAAATAAAATCGAAACAGACATAGAGAAAGAAAAACTGGCTGATTTAGACATTATATATATATATATATATATATATATGCATGGGGGAGATCTCGATAGCTTAATAAGAAAAAATGAAACGATTTATTTTATATAATAAAATATATAATAAAAATATTTTTGAAAAAGACAGAAAGAATGATCTGTCTATCTATCTATCTATCTATCTATCTAAGCAGAATTTAAAAAGGGAATATAGAGGATGGTCGGGTATTACTGATATATATATATATATATATATATATATATAGAGAGAGAGAGAGAGAGAGAGATAAAGAAATGCTGTTACATAGATAAATAGATACGAAAATATATGTGTGAGAAAGTGTTCATGATAGATAGATAGATAGATAGATAGATAGATAGATAGATAGATAGATAAAAAGTGGGAGAGAGAGAGAGAGAGAGAGGAGAGTGGGCAGATGACCTTAAAGAAAAGTCAATAGACAATAAAAGAGAGTTAAAGAGAGAAAGTGCATTCGAGTTAGGTAGCTCGCGATAAGTCTGTTTACGTACGTAGAACTACTGCTATGGTTACTGAATGACACAGAGAGAACGCGCGCGCGCTCGAGAGAGAGAGAGAGAGAGAGAGAGAGAGAGAGATGGGAGAGAGAGACAAAGAGAGAGAGAACGTTGAGTGGATATGACATCATTCAATTCGTAGTAATGCAACGTAAGCCTAATATGGCGAGTATCACATGTAAGATATTATAGGTAGGAAATGGATAAAAACACAGCCCAGCTAAACACTTGCTTTCTTCTTTAAAATAAAACCAACTAACCAATCAGCTAGCGAGCAAACATGATTTTCTCAAGTTCTGAAATACGTATTTTTCTTTTAAAAATTACATTTTTGAAATTACTAGTTTTGGTGATCGCTTATAGTTTTTGGAATTGTTACTTCTCTTTGGTTTGTTTTTATTCCTTTTCTGTTACTGACTGATTGTGTGATATCTAATTACCTGACTTTAAGAAAAAAAAATATAAAAATCTGCCTTTTTTTGTTTTTATAGAAAAATCTCTGAACCACTGACCTTACGTATTACATCTAGCTCAATTAGCTGTAAATATAACGCTGCAAAATAAACTTGAACTAACGCTGCAACCTGTATGAGTCGTTCCAACATTCGTGCTGAGAAAAAAGGTCGAACTGAAATCGAAACCCAACGTGTCGATACCCTTCAATAAATATCTGTTCTGATTGTATATGTAATCCACGATGCAAAATGGCTTGTAATAAAAAAGAATAAAAAACAACATGATATGCAGATGACACAGTGTTGAGAGCAGACATAGAAAAGAAACGATAACTCCTGCAAAATGTAGTAAAGGAAAGCGAGAAGAAAGGGTTAAACATCAACTGCAAGAAGACAGAATAACATGTTTGTCAGCAAAAGAAACAGCCTAACCTGTGAATTACAAATAGGAGTGTTATCAATAATCAAGAGTGCTCTCCCCTTGTTTTGTTACTCTCTTATTTAAGAGAGCTATTTCTGTTTACTGGGACTATAAAAGGACACTATAAGCGAACCTTGTATTCTCAGTTGAATAAAGCTTTCTTAAAGCCTACGCCTGCGTACTTGTGTCATTACAAGGAGATGCCAAATACAAGAAAATATAAAAATTTAAGCATCTAGGAACTATTTTAACAGAGGGCGAAAAATGCGACATCGAAATATATGTAAAATCTTTTGATAAATTACGTCACAGGGAAATGTTGGAAGTGCAGGGTAAGTTTGATTTATTTGGAAAGAATCCTAACCGTCTGTATAGGGATAAAATATATAGCCCCGTTCACAAAAAATAGAAATAAAAATAAAAATAAAATAAAACAGATTTAAGACAAGGATGTGTATTCTCATTGGATTTATTCAACTTTTACAGTACAGTAATCTTGAGAGAATTAGAAGTCTTCATCATCATCATTATTTCCACTGCAGTCGAGATCATCGAACAAATATGAACGATCCTTTCTGTAGCTGTATAGTATGTACTACGCCAGGGCTAATATAAAGTACATATTGTTATGAATAATCAAGAGTGGTCTCCCTTTGATTTGTTACTCTCCTATTTGAGAGAGCTATTTCTGTTTACTGGGATTATAAAAGGACACTATACGCGAACCTTGTATTCTCAGTTGGATAAAGGTGTTGTATATTTTCACTGGATTTATTCAGTCTTTCTAGTGAAGCAATCTTGAGAGAATTGAGAAGTTTTCATCATCATCATTATTTCCACTGCAGTCGGGATCATACGAACGATCCTTTCTGTAGCTATAACGTCTTTGCTACGCCAGAGCTACATAACATTTTGAGTTCAGAGTTACTTTCTCTTAGACCGTTTGCTACCAAAGGCTATAAAATCCAGTCTGTTCTGCTTTACCGATAAGGCGGGGGGAGAAGAAGAGGATTCACACCTTTCCCAATGGTATTAGCACATAAGTGAATGTAATGGATCCGACTTAAATTCGAACTTGGCTCTCCGATTCCTCAATCCGACCCGCTATGCATTACTCCATCGGGCCTCCTACCAGGACTCATTATTGGCGGCTACAATCTTAACAATATTAGATGTACAGATTATTGAAAAAAAAAATACAGGAACTTCTACAGAAGACAGAATCTACGGTTCTCAGTAAAAGTAACAGCCCAACACGAAAACTACAAATTGGAGATTATTTACATTATTCGGACTATTGTCCTCATCTTTGTCGCCATATTTATCACAACGTTTCGGCCGCTGTACGCTCCGCCCTTCTTCAGGTGGTTGGAATTTCGAACTGAACCCTTTATTTCGCTCACTGGGGTAGACTGTTCTAGTTCCACGTGCCATATTTGATGGATGTCAGTTATCAGTTATCTCCTGCTAATTTCCCTCTGAAAGTTCTCCACTGCCTCAACCGGGTATTGAACTCACACTCTTTGGGTCCTGTCACTGGATCTAACCAACGCCTTTATCCACTGTGCCATGTGTCCTTGAGGATATCTGGGTATGAAGTTCTGGCGACAAAGATGAGGACAATAGTCCGAAAAATGTAAATAATGTACATAATGCCTCATCTCAGAAATATAGGCAGACTACAAATTGGAGATACTAAAATCAAACAAGTACAAAAACTTAAATATCTGGGAAGTGTTTTAACAGAGGTAGGAAATTTCGACACTGAAATCCGAAAGGGCATTAGGTTAGGGAAAGATGTCCTCCAAAAGCTAAGCAAAGTATTAAGAAATAGGAAGATTTCGTTAGAGACAAAAGAAAAGAGTACGGAAATGTTCGGTAATTTCAGTTCCCCTAAATAACAGTGAATACGACAAAGATGAAGAAGAAACTTTAACTAAAGGAAATGTGCTTCTACAGAAGGAAGCTGAGAATACCATGGACTGAACATGTGAGCGATGATGAAGTTTTAAGAAAAATAGAAACAAAAACGATATTTAACATCAGAAGGAAATAGAAGAAATATCTCAGGCACATAATTAGGAAAGAAGGCTTGGAGATTCTATACTCACAGGGTAGACTGAGGGTAGAGGAATAGAAGAAAACAGCGTAACATACTTAATGATCTTGTATAAATGGTTGGCAGGACAAGGGTTAGGAGGGATAGCAGAAAGATAACAGTTTCAAGTAGCTTCAAAGGACAGAAAATTGTTGAGAGTCATGATCTTCAATGTCTTGAAGGTACGCGGTACATGGACGATGAAATACCCATTTGGAAATTAAGCAAAAAAAAAAAAAAAAAAAAATTGGAAGAGAAGGAAGAATAAAAAGTCCATACGAGAACCTTTCTAACCTGCGTGTTTTCAACTGCGACAAGCTGATATTTATACTGTCCTATTTTCACAAAAAAATAGATGGCAATAAAAACTTAGTTGTCGGGCCTACAGATTGACAGGCGAGAATTTTACTGAGTGCCGAGTTGAAAATGAAACACTTACAGAAACTCAGAAGAAAGTTGTGGCGTCTTTTCATGATCTATCTTTCAACAACGGCAATTGAAAAAGATCCGAAGGCAATTTGGTTCATTTTGTTTTACAGTATGTCAAACTATATGGATCCTGAAATCTAAATATATTGGACACAGTTTTATGCCTACAGCCACATATTTTTTGGACGCAATTTTTGTTTGAAACTACAGATATTTTGTATATAATTTTATACTTTCAGGGTAAACGCATGTTTTTTTTAGATATACAGGGTGCGATGGCAAAATTGTCGCCATTTTATATTTTTAATTTCGCGCATGCGCGTTGTTTGCTTTTGATTTTGTCGATTGTACAGTATAGTGGGGTCAGTTGTGCACCGTCTATAAGAAAAAAAGCACCATGACGCAATTCATTCCGACCAAAATTTGGAAACAGCATACTGTACTGCTTGGCATTCGCGCCAGAAACTTCAATATGAAAATTCCAAAGTGTCTGGGTGTCAATCTGAAGACAGTGAATAGGATTCGGAAAGAGTTGGATGAGTCTAATGATGATTACGAAGGAAAGCTCACTCTGATCGTTCGGATAAGAAAAGCACTACCGACTGGTAGCGCCTCAAAATGAGCACGGAGGCCTAAAACATGTTGAGGATGTAGTGCTGCCCTGGGGCAAGAGGGTGGCTGCTGAAAGACCCTATTTCTGGCAACAGGACTCTTCATTATGACGTACAAGCAGGAGAATACATTCAAGACTATCAGACAATTTTTGCGACCACATTACTAGTTAAATCTGGCCTGCTAACTACTTCAGTATGGCACATTTGAGCTAGGAACTAACAAAACTCCTTGTAACACCAAAGATGAATTGAAGGCAAGGATTATGGCAGCATTCAAGGAGAAAGTCGAGAAGAGTTGCAGGTGATTCCGAAGTTGTCTGGAGGCCGTGGTTGAAGGCAATGGCGATTTTATTGAATAAAACTATTGTTTAGTATTTCGAGATATTTTTGAGTAGTTTTGGTAAATATATGTATTAAAATGAGAAATAAGTGTTATTTTTATTTATTACATAATTAAAGCAACAATTTATCGATCGCACCCTGTGTTTTTAGATGATAAAATTTTTAGCTGGTAATTTCATTACAGAAATGTATCGTTGGTAATTTTTATAAAAATGTATTGCTGGTAATTTTACTATAAAAATGTATTTTTATACTTTTTAGTGTTGTATTGTCATTTTACTATAAAATGTATTGTTGGTCATTTTACTATAAAAATGTATTGTTAGTCATTTTACTATAAAATGCATTGTTAGTCATTTTACTATAAAAATGTATTGTTAGTCAGTTTACTATAAAAATGTATTGTTAGTCATTTTGCTATAAAAATGTATTGTTAGTCATTTTACTATAAAAATGTATTGTTGGTCATTTTACTATAAAAATGTATTGTTGGTCATTTTACTATGAAATGCATTGTTGGTCATTTTATTATAAAAATCTATTGTTGATAATTTTACTATAAAAAATGTTACTGGTCATTTTACTATAAAATGTTCTGTTGATTTTTGTTTGGGGTCCACTAGTTTCGCATTGCTGGGATCTTAACAGGAGCTACTACATCGGGTCAGTGTGGACCTGGAAACAATAGAAATTAAGAGGTGGTTCAACGCTCATCAAAACTTCCCGATCAGAGGCCTTGCTGCCGTATGCAGTTTATAGTTATACCCAGGAAGTGTAGGCAAGTGTTCTAGATTCAATAAATCTAGGTTGCTCAAAATATTCGTTCTCTCCTTTAATGTTAGATAGCATTAGGAGAGTTTAGTTTTATCAAATTTCTTTCAAAAGGATTGTTTATCATTATATCGTGAGACCTGTTATATCAATATGCACACACACACACACACACACACATATATATATATATATATATATATATATGAAAAAAACAAAATTGCAGATTTTAGATTATTGATTGTAATATTGAATAAAGAAGAAAATAATTGAATGTTCTATATCTTATTCTATTTGTTTCAGGATGCGGAGGCTTATTCAGAATGACAAATCCCCCCCGTAACATTTGAAACTCTAACGAACCAGTATCCCTGGGTATGACGATAAACTACATCCGGTAGCAAGACCTCTGATGTGAAGTTGAAGATTTTGAGGAGCGTGGCACTACCTCTTAATTGCTGTTGATTCCAGACCTATCATGACCAGGTATGGTTGCATTTGGTAGGCTCACAGCAATGGGGAAATAGGGAACCCCCAAACAAAAACAAAATACTATGAAAGTAAAAAAATACATTTTATAGTCAAAATAATAGCAATATATTTTTAAATGAAAAAACTTACCAACAACATATTTTTATAGCAAAATGACTAACATTACCTTTTTATCTGTAGTATAAAGCATGCAATTCAGTCAGTCAGTGATGTGCCATATGTGATACACACTTAGGCGATCATTTGTCTTTCGATGCATGACTGACGAGGCAGAATTTTTCCCGCAGTAGGTTGCCATTTCTTTCTGCGGTAGACTAGTTGCTATCAAAGGCTATAGAACCCAGTATGTCCGGCTATTTACCCATAGTTGGTGGGAGAAGAATAGGATTCATACCTTTCCCAAGGGTATTAGCACGTAAGTGAATGTAATGGATTCGACCGGAATTCGAACCCGGCTCTCTATATTTAGTTGAAGCCATAAGATTGTCTTCAAAATATTTAGATTTCGGCTTCAAATAACCAATAAAAAAAAAATAATAGCATTATATTTTATATGAAAAAATTACCAGCAACACATTTTTATAGCAAAATGACCAACAATACATTTTATCTGTAGTTGGAAGCATACAATTACGCTCAAAATATATTTAGTTGAAGCCATAAATTTGTCTTCAAAATATTTAGATTTTGGCTTTAAATAACCAATACAAATTGATATGCCGCTCAACAAAATCAAACAATGTGAAATATCAATCTATATAATATCCTACAATTTCTTAAATTAAACTGTATTCCGAAATATAGCTTTAACAAAACTACAGCATAAAACGCATATATCGCATTTAGTAATTATCTTCGCACAAACATTTCTATGTACAAAAGCTGATTTCATCTTCAGTTCTGAAAGAAGAACAATATTTTTTTTTATTCCTTTAAGGGTTCCCAAGCGAAAAAAAAAAACGTGTTCTCTGTTCTTACCGTAGTATTAATTTCAACTTTCGTTTTCTTTGCTAACATATGGTGGAATTTTCCCAGTTTTTGTACACGGACTAGAATAGAGATGCAACGTAGAGGTTATGTCTTTGGTTGGGGAAAAGCTGTTACAACGTCACGAACTCGAATAGAGATGCAACGTAAAGGTTATGTGTCCGGTTGGTGAAAAGCTGTTAGTTACAAAAGAACCTGAAGCTCCTGATTGAAACCAGAAACAGTAACCAGTAAAAAGTATAACATCTCGAAAGATGTTATACTTTTTTTAAACTTTGGCCTTCTGAGTTTTAGCAACGTGACTTAGCTATTTGCCTGAAATAGTTTTACTGATAACCACGTTTCGATCATTTGACCTTATTGCATATTTTTCTGATATTATCATTTTGCTAGATTTGGTTTTGATTTATTTTTTATTCGCCTGTAGCATGATCAGTGATTTGAAACAAAGAACAAAAGAAAATAAAGTTGACTTAAAAAAATAACAAAGCTATTTGTTGAAGCCTGATTATTGAACGATAAGAATGGTGCTTTTTTTTGTCTCGCCTCTGTGCTTTTTCGCTTAATCAGGCGGGGAGAAAATACATACTTGTTGAATTCGATTTGTGCAGCATTTATTTAATATAGGACAGCCTTCAAATCCAAATATATATATATATATATATATATATATATATATATATATATATATATATATCTTACTTATTATAAAACGCAGATTGTGTGTGTGTGTGTCTGTACGTTTATATATTGGATCGGATTTCGAACATTTTTCAACCGATTTCAACCAAACTTCACAGGACTACGTAAAATTACCTTGCGGTGGTTCTATCAGCACCAAAAATTGTTTTTGCACGAAATCAATTTGAAAACACGATTAAGAGGCATCACGAGAATGAAAGGGGGACAATTCATATCGATTTATTCTTATTATAAAACCCAAGTTGTTTGTGTGTGTGTGTGTGTGTGTGTGTGTGTGTGTGTGTGTGTGTGTGTGTGTTCATTTATATATGGGATCGGATTTCCTACATTTTTCAACCGATTTCAACAAAACTTCCCTTTCTTTTGGCAGGTAGTGTTTCTTATTGTCTTGCACACTTTTTTCTTTATTTTTAAATACAGAATGCTTTAAAAATTCCATTTACAAGACAATTGTTTATAATAAAATTCTATTCAACCGGTAGACTCATAACGATTGAAAACAATGTTTTTGTTTGAGTTTGGGTTTGACCAATTTGTAAAAAAAAAAAAAAAAAAAAACCCAATTAAGACATGCCTGTCCGTCAACCTTAAAAAATAATCTTTGTCAATTTTATTTTTTAGTCTTTATGATGGTCGATACTTGATCTATCTCTTACTGTTACATCCCTGGGCAACGCCAGGCTCTACTGCTAATATATATATATATATATATATATATATATATACATATACACACACACACACACACACACACACACACACATATATATATATATATATATATATATATTTTGTGCGTGTGTTTATAATTTACTATATTTATAGGGGAAATGTGCTCAATATCAGCGGAAATTTAGCGTTTTGGGCTACAGAAAGCGGAGACATAGAACGGAACTCTACTTGCATGCTGGCATCTCAATTCGATGTTCAATTTTGATTCCACCCTCCAAACGGCAAACCAGCAGTGTTGATTCCGCGGTCGACGTTGCTTCTGTCTGCCTATCTATCTAGAAAATGTATAAAATTCGCTATATTTATTTAAGAAAGATGCGTAATATCAATGATAGAGCGTTTATCGATATAGACAGTGTGGACGTGGTCTGAGGATCGCTGTAAACATGGTACAGCTAATAAACATGAAGTGTTGTTTTCTATGTCCCTTCTGTCTTTATTTATGTAATTCTGTTTCTATCTATCTATCTATCTATCTATCTATCTATCTATCTATCTATCTATCTTATTCTGTTTCTGTCTATCTCATTCTGTTTCTATCTATCTATCTATCTATCTATCTATCTATCTATCTATCTATCTATCTCTAATTCTGTTTCTATCTTTCTATCTATCTATCTATCTATCTATCTATCTCATTCTGTTTCTGTCTATCTCATTCTGTTTCTATCTATCTATCTATCTCATTCTGTTTCTATCTATCTATCTATCTATCTATCTATCTATATATATATATATAATTCTGTTTCTATCTATCTATCTATCTATCTATCTATCTATCTATCTATCTATCTCATTCGGTTTCTCTCTCTCTCTCTCTCTCTCTCTCTATATATATATATATATATATATATATATATATATATGTGTGTGTGTAAAATTTTAAAACAATTAGGAGATCAGCCGATCACGCTACCTTGGTTTGAACCCTTTGGTATCTTCAAACGATCTGGGGTAAATAATTTCCTAACGCTTTATTATATAAAACATATAAACTCACAATGCGAAGCGTAGTAGAAGAGGAGAAGAAAAGGAAGGGTATTGAAATTTCATATACTCCCCCCTTCGATACAATTTCAATACCCTTGATTTTTCTCCTCCCTTTCTATTACGCTTCGCCTTGTGCGTACCAACGTACCGTCACCGTTTATTTTTTACATCTAAATAATCTGCATCTCAAATTTTTATTTTCTTTTCTTTATACGTGCATCGAGCACTTTTTAATACCACTGTTTCCTGGTTTAATTCAACTCTGACTAATAACAGTATATATATATATATATATATATATATATATATATATATATATATGTGTGTGTGTGTGTGTGTGTGTGTGTGTGTGTGTGTGTGTGTGTGTGTGTGTGTGAAAATATATAGAAAAGAACTCGTTAGGTAAATAATCCAAAGTTCTTTAGTATTTTAATTATTTAAAAAAAAAAACAGTGCTCGATACAAAAGTAGAGCCTAAATATAATTATTTATTTGAAAATATGATTCCATCGCTACATAAGAGTTCTCATGTTTCAAAACAAGAGCCGAAAACTTTAATATAATTATTTGAATTAAATCGAATTAAAGTACCAAGTTCTGTTCCATCTTCAAGCGAAAATTTTTTTTTTGAATAACTAATTCTTTAAATCCACGCGTAGTACTGTAATTCGATTTAATTCAAATAATTATATTGAAGTTTTCGGCGCTTGTTTTGAAACATGAGAACTCTTATGTAGCAATGGAATCATATTTTTAAATAAATAATTATATATATATTTATAAGATGAGAACGAATAGAGTACAATTCCAACGTTCATACATTTAATTTAAAAATGGCCTCAATACAGACTAAAGCAATATTATCTATTTTAGGATATTAAAACATGTAAAAATCGCTACACAATTGCAGTTGTGTTTCAAATCCATACCAATGCGTCTCCCCAGGTGATTATAAATTACTGGCGAGTGAACGATTAATTTGTTTTCAAAAGCAAAATACATCCTCTTTTTTCGTAAAAAAAAAAGGTATAAAACTTGAGGGTTTTACCCTGATCAACCAATCGAATATTGGTTATCTGCCAACATCAGCCAGACATTAAATTAAAGATGGATACAGATGGTTGCGTAAAGTGTATACATGTCAGATGGTCAACTGCAGGTCATGGCCCATTTCTAAGAAACTTTAACATTTTTTTTCGCTTAGTTTGATTCGACTGGTTGATCAGGTTTGAATTACCCCCCCGTTTTTTTTCGAAAAAAAAAAGGGAGGTATTTTGCTTTGAAACCAAATTAACCAAATTAATCGTTCATTCGGCAGTAATTTATAATCGCCCGAGGAAGCACATTGGAATGCGTTGAATCACGGCTGCAGTGGTGTAGCGATTTTGTATGTTGTTGCAATATCCTAAAATAAATAAATAAATAAATATATCCTTCTCTCGCTGTCTGTCTGTCTTTCTTTCTGTATGCCTGTTTCTCTCTTTCTCTCTATATCTATATATATATATATATATATATGTGTATGTGTGTGTGTGTGTGTGTGTGTGTGTGTGTGCGTGTACGCGTGTGCATTTATAAATCTGAATCTCTATGATGAAACAAAAAAGCATTCATTTATTTTAAACTGTATATATTAATTTTTAAACACGATATTCTTTCTTGTCAATGCACTTAATCTAACCTATCCAGTTAACGCCATAATTCCAAAATCTTTGAAAATCTCAGTTCAAAATACAGCCAATCCTGATACCAGACCACGGAAATATTGACGCATCCTTGAATACAATAGACAAACACACACACACATTTATAAATTTAATTACAATAAAATTAATTAATAACTCTAATAAATAATTAATATTATTCTTACATTGTTATGTGTTCATTTTTAAACTTTTTATTTGTCTGTCGATGACATTAAACATTTTCATTATCATTAGTTGTAAGCTGTCTGCAAATGAAGCCATCCGTATGTTAAAACATTATTTAAATTTATAACTTTCCAAAAACTAAACATTATGATGATAAAAAGAATTATATTAATGTTTTCAAGAATCTATTTATATATAAAATACTGTGACTCCCGTCAGTCTGTTCGTCCGTCCTACCTAAAATTACAATACATTGACCGATCGAAACCAAATTTTGGCGAGAAATAGCAGGTAATCGGGTATAAAGTACAATTGGTTTTACTTGGGTGTGTAGCTTTGTACAATGAATTTTCATTCATTTTCTTGAAAAAAAAAATGACGCACGGGTATGTTGCATGCTCAAGTGTAAGAATTCATAAGAATTTATTATTCGCTGTTAAAAATGATGAGAGAAAAAAATAAACTTTCTGAAAAAATATTGTTTCGCATGAATTCTTATAAAATTAAAAAAATTATTAAACCGTGAAGTAGGGTTTTTGTCAAAGTATTTTCCAAACAAATCAGCTTATTCAAATTTCCTCGATTGGTTTGCGAAATTGAACGAAAGGTTGAGTTTGTAAATCTTGACAAAAAAATGTTAGCGATGACTTCAGCAATGCTAAATACAATTTCAACACTTATCAGGAGAATCACTGAAAAACCCTTTGTGTTATTCAGCTAGAAAAAGAACAGGTTAAAATCGTTTTGTGTCAGCCGCACTATGCCTTTCCAAATGAGCAATGGTGAGAGGAAAAAGATCATTCCGGCCTTCAGTAATGGTACCGACCTTCATACTCTGGTTTTCATCTTCAAAGTGCATTCAAGAACCATACAGAGAACGGTGACATCTTAGACTGTTGCAAAAAAAAAAAAAATAAAAAAAATAAAAAAAATCTACTTTTAGGTATCTCGTCACCAGTCATTTTACCGATGGAACGTGTCTTACATCTGTCTGTTGTACAAATATTTTCATGGCTACTGCTCCTATGAAACTTTTTCCTGGTGTCCACACTACAAGAATTTAAGCGTGCTTCTCGATTGTCAACGAGGTGTCACCGTTTTACTGTTGATCTAACTAGCTAAGGCCACTTCTACTCTAATGGTTTTCTTTTCCCTTCCCGCCTGTGGATATCCCTTCCGATTTTTTGCCTCCCTGATAATTACAATCTTCAACAATTTAAATGCAACGTCAATCGCCATTTTCTGTCTTCTTGAAACCCGTTCATCTTTTGTCCTTTCGTCAATCCTCCAAATATTCAATTGTCTCAATCTCATTCTCTTTCACTAACTGTAATCCCCCTTTCCTCCGTGCGTTCTAGTGGCATTACCACCACCTTGTTGGGTGAAACAATTATATATATATATATATATATATATATATATATATATATATATATATATAAAAAAAGAACAGTAAGATGTATAATCTGGTGTTCTTATAGATATTTTTATTTTTACAAAATAGTGCTCAATATAAATTTACAGAGCATTAATATTATAAATTAATTGATTTAAAAGGTGATTTTTTTCGCTACACAGTTCTAACCATGCTTCAAATATATATACCGGGTGTAACAGCAAAATTGTCCAAAGCGTGTAACAGCATAATTGTCCATCCCACAAAATGTTTGATATCTCAAAAATCACTAAAATAATTAAATATCTTTTTCCCAGGTTTTCAGAAAATACTTTTAACAATCTTGACATCATTTATCAGAAGAATCATTGAAAAACCCTTTGAGTTATTCAGTTAGAAAAAGAACACGTTAAAATAGTTTTGAGTCAGCCCCACTGTCTTCCCGACTGGCGAATGGTGTGAGGAAAAACATCATTCGGCCCTTCATTAAGGATACCGACCGTCATACTGTGGTTTCCATCTTCAAAGTCCATTCAAGAACCATACAGAGAACGGTGAATGAGTTTTAAAAAGAGGGAACAGTAGAGAGGAAAACGGAATCAGGTCAGAACAGAAAGATGGGGATCATCATTTCAACTTAGAGCTAAAGAGATCAATTAGAAAAGATCCAACTCAATCTATAAGGCGTTTGGTACGTTAGGGAGTAGTTTCAGTTATGACAGTCCAAAGAGCAGTGAAAAAAGACTTGAAAATGAAAGCGTACATGCGATGCACTTTGTTACAATAGGACAGTAAAGTTTGAGGGTTAGAGAGGGCGAAGATCATGAATAAGTTTAAAAAATAAGTTATAAATATATATAATAATATATATATATATATATATATATATATATATATATATATATATATATATGAACATTTTCAATCCATCATGAGATTCAGATCCTTAGTTATGATGAACATGTCATTTTCGTTTAGGATCGATTTCATCACAATTCTTCTGTTAAGCTTGGAGAGTAATTATACATTCTTATTGCTTAAAGTAGAGTGATATATAAGTAAATGCTCTGTTTATAATAAACAGTACTAACAACATTTACCGGCTTGAATGTCTGAGAAATTTTCATAGAAAATATGCGTCCTCCGACAGGATTCGAAACTGTATCCTATACGGAGCCGTCATATAGCCTGACGTGATTTTATCGATTTCGCCAAAAAGGAGCGTTTCGGTTAGCAAGGTCGATTTTACTGTTTTTAGAATTTACTTAAATATTTGTATCTATAAAAAAACGTATAAACATAAAAAAAATGTCTTAAAATAATTGTCGGACTTTGTCCATTTCATAATGTGTGACGTCATTTGTTTACATTTGGATACGCATCGAGCAGATATGAATATATGAGAGAAAATCATGGAGAATTGTGGTTTAAAAGCAGTAAAATCGACCTTGCTAACCGAAACGCTCTTCTGTGGCTCAATCGGTAAAAGCACGTCAGGTTATATGACGGTTCCGTATAGGATACAGGTTCGATTCCTGTCGGAGGACGCATATTTTCTATGAAAATTTCTCGGACAATCAGGCCGGTAAATGTTCTTAATACTGTTTATTAGAAACAGAGCATTTACTTAAATATTTGTATCTATAAAAAGAACGTATAAACATAAAAAATGTTTTCATATATATATATATATATATATATATATATATATATATATATATATATATATATATATATATATATATATATACCTCCCAGAGAAAGCCTCTCACATAATGGTAAGTCAGTAGCAAGATGACGACATTATTGACACTAAATACAGGTTCGATTCCTATCGGAGAACAGGTATTTTCTATGAAATTTCTCGAACATTCAGGCTGGTAAATGTAATTAATATTGTTTGATTAAAAATAGAGTATTTACTTAAATAAATTGTATCTAGAAGAATAACGTATAAACAGAAAATCCGTGAATATGTTTTACTCATGTTAAATCTTGAAAAATTCTATATAATATTTTGTCCATAATATCGAATGTGTTAAAATTATTCAATTTTTTCACAAGTTAATATTAAAAATTACCGCAAAACATTGTTGATTTATTCAAAATGGAATGATCTATTATGACATGCCTCTAATTTGTATTTAGATACATTGTATTTATTTTCAATTTCTTTAGTTGAATTCTTCCCCTATATTGCATATGATCCATTATTGTACATAATTAGGTTATAATAAAATTTGTATTTTATAAGAATACTACCTTATGAAAATTGAGATGTTGTTGCGTGGGAGGACCCGGGGGCGTATCATAGATTCTGGGTGCAACACCCTTGCACCGGGTATGTATGTATACATTTGATAATTTTAAAAATAAAAGACGAGGTTGCATAAATTTAATCCACAATGATACTAACAGCAACATATTAATAAAATAATTAATTCCTCACATTATATGGTACACAATTGCGGCGGCCATTGATATAAGTGACATTGCGTTGCTATGTCCGCTATATCTCATTGCTTGAATGGCTTCTCTAGGCTATTAAAAAGCCAGAAAGGTTCTGTGACTGATAGCCTAATGACATTATTAATGACCAATTCAAGCAGTTATTGGATAATGATTGGCTGAATGGGTTATATTGAGGTCTATATTTGGGCTAAGATATGTACATAGGCATATAAATATATATTGGTATATGGAGTTACTGGGCGAATGAAAGGTTCTAGGCCCGAGCAACAGTCTAAAATCTGTATTTTCATGACCAAACAACAGAATTATTATATTGGAAAGTGGTTCGAGGGGGGGGAGCTTTTAGCACCCCATCAGATTTAAGCAGATACCGACTTCATGATTTCATTCTTTATTTGTTTCCTTTCATGTACCACCACTACTTTATGTAAGTATATGAAAATCTTATCTGTTTCTTGCTTTCTACTTTATACACACACACACACACACACATATATATATATATATTTATATGTGTGTGTGTATATTTATATATATATATACATATATATACATACATATATATGCATAAATATATATACACATACATATATACATACATACATACATATATATACACACATACATATATATACATATACATATATATATATACGTACATATATATATATATACACAACATATATATACATATACATATATATACATACATATACATATATATATACATACATACATATACATATATATACATACATACATACATACATACATACATACATATGTGGATATAGATCCGACAGTATGAAGAAAAATATGGAAAAAAAATCCGAATATGCAAGTATGCTGTTTTAATGTTGTTTCAATGTCGACGTCAGACGTTTCGGTCTAGTAGACCTTCTTCAGGACATAGTTATTAAAACATAATTAAAATTAGATGATATTCAAATCAACATGAAAAGACGATAGACATAAGACTAATCAAAACAGAATAACTAATTATTTTTAATTATGTCTGTGAACCAGTTAAAGAATGGGTGGTACAATCACACGTCATCTTTTAGAATTCCGGAACATAGGTACAGCCCGAAGTTAGCAAGCTACTATTGGAAGTTTAGGGAGAGACATATCAAAAGTACAAGCATTAAATTGAGCATTTTAAGAAATTTAAAGACTAACGTAACAGTCGAGAATGTAGGCTCAACTAGGAAGAAAAACTGGCTATAGCAACATATAAAAAAAAGCAATGAATTGCTGAA